AGGCGAGTCTTGGAAGCAACGGGTGGCGGCGGTGGAGTTGCCCACACTACAAGATCAAATGTGTGCTTAGTACACAGCTGTGGGAGCGTACTTGCAAGTACACATCTATAGGTGTATGCTTGGCAAGTACACATCTATAGGTGTATGCTTGGACAAGCACACATCTATAGATGTATGCTTGGACAAGCACACATCTATAGATGTATGCTTGGCCAAGCACACAGGTGTAGGAGTATGCCTTTAAATGGGTGGGATTAGAGTGTGCTTGGCCAAGCATACACCTATAGATGTGTACTTGCCAAGCATACACCTGTAGCTGTGTGCTTGCCAAGCACACACCTATAGATGTGTGCTTGTCCAAGCATACAGCTATAGATGTGTGCTTGCAAGTACGCTCCCATAGCTGTGTACTAAGCACACATTTGATCTTGTAGTGCACCTCCTCGGAACGTGAGAGAGATCTTTTATGGCAGTGGCACACGCTAAAACTTAACAGCTGTTTCAGCCATCCCCTCCCCCCCCCTTTTCCTTTCAAGGCATTAAGGGGGGGCGGGGGACAGGCCTGCGAGCACCGGGCACATCGGCGAGTTCATGAGGACCTCCAAGTTGACCGCCACTAGGGCTCTTCTAGCCCCTCGAAGGCAAGTCTGTAAAGTCACGCAAGCCGCACGATAAAAACGGTTACAGTGTTAATAGTATAAACCATGGCTTTCCCAGAGCGCCTATGGTAAAGATATAGGCGATTTCCAGGCATTTCGTTGATTCCTGCGAAAACCAGGAACCGTTTTTACCGCGCGACGACTAAATGTTCTTGAGTCGCTGGGTGCGCACCATACTTAGTCTCCTTTTGCCACCGTTGGTTGGATCCTGAACAGGAGTCCTCCGATTGGCACCCACTGCCATCCTCTTTCACACTCTTGGTTTTGCAGCATTTGGGCATATTTTTGTTTAAAAAGAGGTTTATTTCACTTTTAGAAGGGTTTTCAAGGGACAGCAATGAAACGTTTTTCTGGTGCTGGCAGAGAGGAAAAAAGTTAAATAAGAATAACAAAACCAAACAACAAAAAAGTATAGGCAGTTAACAAAACGGCAATATCAAGAGTGATCACATTACGCTTTAAAGAGGTTTGGTGCCGCTTTAAATATTAGGCGCAGCACTTCCCGTGATTTTGGGTCACTTTGATATTCGGCCGGAGTACACTTCGAGAAAAAGTGTGGATAGTTCAATCAAAGTAAAACTGTACAATTAAAGTACAACAGGAGTTGTGTAAAGTACAACGAAACAAACCTCAACGAGGCCTGGACTGCACAGCACTCGTCATGCCGGTTCCATTGTACTTTCTACAACAATTGTTCCTGATTCCTGATAAAAAATTTGTCAGAAATATATGTGCTTTTGTTGTGGTTATTTCTTGCAGTGTAGCCATTCAGTCGTCCCATCACTTAAGGATATGCCCATGAGACTCGCCAGTAGCTCTGAACGTAAATTTTCTTGTACACTTTGTGCAAACTCAAATGTTTCACATGCATTGTTTATTTTCGAAAATTCGTAAACTCACGGACGGCACCTTAGACTACCCTTTTCAAATACTGTAGAAGATCCTTCAAGCGTATGGCTGAGAAAACATCGAGCGAATAAGAAACGAACGAAGTACATCTAGCTCCGATGCAAGAAAATAATCGAAATTTTAACTCTGCATTCGGAGTGTTGTCTACATCAATCGAAACGAGTGCCCAAAATGCCCATGCACGGCAAAACTACCGCCTGGGATTCCCAGGCGGTGCCTGGAAAATAGGCCCTTTTCCCCATGATGCGCCTGGGAATCCCAGGCGGTACTTTTGCCGTGTGGGCATTGCAAAAATGTTTGCAAAAGTGTGCGTGCGCTTTCGCACTTCACGAGCAGCGGCCTACCATTGCACCAATGGGTCATTCCACGCCAAGTCGTCAAGGTTTTGAGGGACGTGTCGGCCGAACCCAGCGGTATTTTCAGGGGTTGTAGGCACTATGGGCCCATTGAAGGCCCGGTACTTTTTTCCCCGGAAAGTCGACAGGGGTCTGAGATATCTCAAACTTCATTTTTGGTAAAAGAAATTACCTATCAACCTAAAAAAAATATATTTCGGAAAGTATTTGTCCTTTCTCAAAACCGCTTATACCGTTGGAAAGAGGAAGAAAAACTGAAAACGATAGGATTTTTTCCAAAAATTCTTGGACACTTTTACTTTTTGCACTTTTATAGTGAAATGTTAAAAATTATGCAACTTTTTTGTACCCTGATCAAAAATGACGTTCTATGGCTCAAAATGTACCTTGATATGTCCTCTAAACGAAAAGATCAACGCCCCAATGTATTTTGTTTAGTTCGAACTAAACAAGAACTCGAGAACGAGCGGTTCTTGTGGACCACTGCAAGGCTACTTTCCCGCTGGAACGGCTCCCACGCCACGCTCGCCTTCTCTGTGTTAGCGGACGTGATCGCCAGGGTTCGGCGACCGTCAGGTAGGATTCCCACCTCACTTTCCAGCCCACTAAGGAAGCGCTGGACCTCAGCGCCTGAAGGGCAAGCAAGGGAGAGACTGGGAAGCACGAAGGGTCACCTACACACACATTTTTGGGGGTTGGCCGCGACTGTGCTCCGCGGTGCGCGTCGCCGCCGGTGGCGGACTGCGGAACTAACGAACTTGGTGGTGTGTGTTGTTTCTGACCATCGCTTGTTTGGATTAGGTGTCAGGCAGAAAGGTTCGGATACTTGCTGAATCACGCCCTGCGTTTGTTCCTGGCAGTTTGGAGGTGAACTATGTAAGTTCTATAGAATAGGCATATTTGCAATATTTGCAACGCACCAAACGTGGTTGGCACCCATTTGACCACACCAGTTGGTGCGTATAGACCACGTCCAGAAACCAAGTGCGTATCCTAACAACTTTAGGGGCTGCCTGCCGGGGGGGAGAGTGAGTAAATGGGTGGCTCGCAGCCTGCGTGGAACACCGATACTCCCCAGGTACAGCCCTACGGGTCGGCACGGCTCGGCGTGTGCGGACAGCACCAAACGAGTATCGTATGCTTCCATGAACGTTTCTTGAATGTAGATTTTCGTTTCTCTTCCCAACCCAACCAGCTTTTAGTCATCTTTAACTAGTTTTGTCACTGCTGTCAAAATATTGCAAATATGCCTGTTTGTATTACCTATTTGTGCCAAGACTTGAGCCTTGACCCAAAGCCCTAATATCTGGAGGTCCGACATGAGCCCGGATTGAGCCCCGACCTGAGGCTCGAGTCCGGGCTGAGATCGGGGCCGTATCAAGCTCACGCCGGGGCTCAACTCGGTTTGGGGTTGGGATTCAGGTTGGGTTTCTGGTCACAGGGGTACAAGGATCGTGTCCTCTATGCCAAACAAATATCAACTATGAAAAACACACCTGCAGTCAAAGTAAAATATTTGGTGTTCAGTTATTCCCCTGCCCATATTTTCTCCGCACTGACCCCTCCGAGAACACTGAACAAGTGCATACTTGAAACATTTTGACAAGAGTGACAAAGCCAGTAAAAGATGACTAAAAAGTGGTTGGGTTGGAAAGGGAAACAAAAATCAAACTACGGCAGAGAGCCCGTCGTGAATCTGAACCAGCAAATGAATCAGACTTAAGCCACGCAAAGATATTCTCCAGTGTAGAACTTATATAGTTCACCTCCAAACTGCCAGGAACAAACGCAGGGCGTGATTCAGCAAGTATCCGAACCTTTCTGCCTGACACCTAATCCAAACAAGCGATGGTCAGAAACAACACACACCACCAAGTTCGTTAGTTCCGCAGTCCGCCACCGGCGGCGACGCGCACCGCGGAGCACAGTCGCGGCCAACCCCCAAAAATGTGTGTGTAGGTGACCCTTCGTGCTTCCCAGTCTCTCCCTTGCTTGCCCTTCAGGCGCTGAGGTCCAGCGCTTCCTTAGTGGGCTGGAAAGTGAGGTGGGAATCCTACCTGACGGTCGCCGAACCCTGGCGATCACGTCCGCTAACACAGAGAAGGCGAGCGTGGCGTGGGAGCCGTTCCAGCGGGAAAGTAGCCTTGCAGTGGTCCACAAGAACCGCTCGTTCTCGAGTTCTTGTTTAGTTCGAACTAAACAAAATACATTGGGGCGTTGATCTTTTCGTTTAGAGGACATATCAAGGTACATTTTGAGCCATAGAACGCCATTTTTGATCAGGGTACAAAAAAGTTGCATAATTTTTAACATTTCACTATAAAAGTGCAAAAAGTAAAAGTGTCCAAGAATTTTTGGAAAAAATCCTATCGTTTTCAGTTTTTCTTCCTCTTTCCAACGGTATAAGCGGTTTTGAGAAAGGACAAATACTTTCCGAAATATATTTTTTTTTAGGTTGATAGGTAATTTCTTTTACCAAAAATGAAGTTTGAGATATCTCAGACCCCTGTCGACTTTCCGGGGAAAAAAGTACCGGGCCTTCAATGGGCCCGTAGTGCCTACAATCCCTGAAAATACCGCTGGGTTCGGCCGACACGTCCCTCAAAACCTTGACGACTTGGCGTGGAATGACACCAATGCATCCTCAACTCATTGCATTTATACACTGGTAAAACAAAGGCATAAAAACTACGCCCTTTAGGGCATAAATACTCTTTTACGCCCTTCCCAAGGGCATAAATCGTTTTATGCCCTTGGGAAGGGCGTAAATGGTATAGGAATTTCAAGCAAAATTTTAATGCCCTTCCCAAAGTTAAATCGTTTACGCCCTTTAAGGGCATAATTTTTATGCCTTTGTTTCACCAGTGTATGCTCGATGGTCAGGCCTGATAAAGTCAGATAGAGGCCAGTGGGTGGACGGGGCGTGCTTCCGCTCCTTTCAAAGATTACACAGAACGATTTAAATTCACCCAGTTCATTGGCTGCCCTCGCGATGACGCATTCTTTCTCAGAAACAGCTGAAGGGGAATATACGGTAGAACAGGGGGAATACTGCCTCTAGCGCGTGGGGAGAACCGGCTCCGTTTGGCGAACATAAAACGAGGCGCCAGTGTCCTCTCGCCGCCACTTGCTCCTGAGTCCCCACGCAGTGCGTACCGGTGTTCGCGTCACTCCAAGTCAAGCGCTTATCAGGCTTCGATATGGTATCCAACAACAACGGAAACTCACAGGTAGGTTTAACAACTTTTGAAGAAATGCGTCGTACTACGAAGGATTTCTTCGTAGATTTTACAATGCCTACGTTTTCCGTTATATACGAAGCGATATCGCTCCGTACAGTTTTTACTGTGACTCTTGAGGCTATCACATCACAAACCGACGACGGGTGCACTCGCATAATAACGCGAAATAGCGGCGTGATACCCGAAAATTAATCCTCAAAATTTTAAGTAGTTTTTGGTTGCTTTTGGCTGTTAGCCAATTCTTGATGAGTTTGAGGCGTAAAAGAGCGTGATAAGCGAGTGATAAGCATAATAGTCAGGTCACAGGTTCCGACAGCATCTAGACTACCCCTCGTTCAGACCTGAGCCTCAACCTGTCACAACCTAACCGAGTGGTTCGATTTTTGTTTCAGACCGATCCCGAAGTGATGGCGCAGCTACAGCTCTCACAGCTACAGCTCCTCGGTCAGTTACTGGCTTATGCTCAGTCTGCGTCTCAAACACCTCCCGTGGCGCGCGGTACGGGACCTGTCCACCAAGAAGCTAGTACGCCGATCGCTGGAACCTCAGGCACTCCCTCACGGAAAAGGAGTCGAAATGACAACGGCAACGAATCTTACAACAGCCCAGGCACATCGGTCGCAGCGCAAGGCCTGCCATCGCCCCCGGGACCATTTGGCTCTCAGAGCGGATCACAAGTTTCGAAAGAGGAGGAGGAATTAGCAGACGCGGCTCTGAGTGCTATCGGAAATCTCTTCGAATGGGCCAGCTTTGCGAGAAGCGACGTTAAAGCAAAGGTGTTCTCACTCGGAGAGAAGGGCGTTCTGTCGTGCCCCCTGCAATGTGGCTTCCAGGAAGTTTGCAGTCGCACGGATAGACGGAATAATTTCTCCGTTGTGGACTTTACCAAGCACGTCCAGTCCTGCATTGCAGAAATGTTGCTGGATCATTGTTGTATGAAACGCGAACGTGGACAGTTCCTCCGGGCCTTAATCAATAAACGTGCCAGTCAAGGTGGTCACGGGTATAGTTAGGCACTAGTTTAAAAACGAGCATTAGTATTTATTTTTCCTAATTAAATGGGCTACTTTTTACGAGAGATGAAGTGACTTTGTTTGGGGTACTTTAAAACAATACTCTGAAATCAAGCACTGTGAGTCACTTACAATTTTAGAATGAATTGTTACGCTTCGAAGTGCAAATGTACAGCAATCTTCGCCTGACGTGAAACCCTATCTCTATGCCAAAAAGAATATTTATCAATAAAGAACTGTGAAGCAGCCCACGACTCTTTATTTTCTAGCCTTGCATGACGTGCCCTTTTGACGTGGGATGTGTAACAGAGTGTGTCTTTTCATTGTGTCGATTTTATAGCGAATATTTTGATGGGAGGAAAACGAACGGAAAGCACCTTTCGGAAACGAGGTAAGCTCGAAACAGGCTGACAGATGCTGCGAGCGCTGGCCTCCACTTCCAAAGCGCACTTTTTCGTCAAATTGAAAAGTAATTATAACTATCAGAGATAAAATTTCATGTAGAATCTAAAAGTGGCCGCGTTTGCTCTAGCTGAGAAGGTAAAATATCAATTGTAGGTCACGAATCAAATATCGGCCATTTGGTTTGACTAGAGACCTAGATTTGACGGGCCGCTAGAAATTCATGAATATGAGCGAATCGATTTTAATTTCGGTATGGGTCTTCCCACAGCCTTCCTGTATCACCCGAAATGTCGCGGATGTCCGAGCAACGACCACAACGCTCCCTGCGGGAGCGGGAGAAAGGCCCTGAAATTAAAAAAAAAAATACGATTTCAAGAAATCCTAGGAGTCACGAAGTCAATTTGATTATTGTGTAAGAGTGTGGAGAAAGAAAAGAAGTGGTGTTGTGAAGTTGTGGCTCAGGGGACTACCAATGGCAGTGGTACCAATGTGGTCGATGTGCCACCCGTCGAAATTTAAACTTGACAATAAATAGAAATCAAAATGCTGGTAAATTCAAAATATTCCAATGCTAATGTATTCCGCAGTGTTCTGACAATGGAACATCTTTAAAGTCCATCATTATTAAAATGTTCTTAGCAGAAAGAAGGCAGTAAAATTTTTTTCACGGGTTGGCAACATCTTCTCGGCGTCTGCGCCCTTGCGAAAATCGCGAAGCTGAAAGCACCAGCAGTCGCGCATTAAAAATGCCCCTCCATTGTTGCTGACGTTGAATTGTTTGGGTTGTTTCAAAAGGCTATGGTTCTCTAGTCATGTTTTCTTCAATTCTGTGTAATAGTTCTCACTCACAACGTATTAACACCACGACGGTTGGTTTGACAAACTTCATAAACTCGGGAGGGAAGGTTTCGAAACGCGGGTGAGTCTTGTTCGAGGAACATGAGCACTGCAAGTCGCGAGGTGGAGCGAAGTGGTCCTAGTGCTAACTGAATCACAACAACAACAAAATTGTTTTGTTGACAGAAAAAAAAGTGATATTTGAAAAACTTTATGTCAGAAAAAAAGAACTTTTGTATTGCTAATTTTTTGTGAAAATTTTTTTAGAAAGTTATCACATTAAAATTGAAAATTTGTCTTATATGAATTTTCATTAGCAGGAAACAAAGAAAAACAAAAAAGAGAGCAAAATTAATACAGATTTCAAATGCTACAGTTGGTTAAACTGTTAACAGGTTGCAAACCTACTGCGCATGTCCAAAAACACTCCGATCAAGAAGTATTATTGGATAGTTCTACCCGAAAAACTGCGTTCGAACCGACACCAATTCTATTGTTGCATCTTGTCTACCTGCAGTCAAAGAAATTTTTCATTTCGAACGTGCCATTTCAGCTTTTGGAGTAAGCTGTACAGACCCAAAATGAAGCTCGGCTATTGGTCCTCCCCGGCTCGGCTCCCCCCACTCCCTTTGACGAGTCGAGTTTTGCCATGGAAACGGCGATTTTGACAGCAAATTTCTCAAAATTGGCCGTTAACTTTTTAACCAGATTTCAGCATAAGAATCAGCGTTCAAGTTCTACAAGTCTGCAAAATCTCATTAAAATCGTATGGAAAATTTCCGAAATGCATAAAGGGCCACACAAATTGAATCTCGGGCCGGCTGAATCCTGGGTATACTATAAGGCTACTTCGTGCCTAAAATTGGGCCTATCCGAGGGCAAGGAAAAGGGAAAACAGAGATGTTTTAGGAACATTTTCAGAAAATCGAATTATGGAGTGAAGGGGAACGCCCTTGCCGAAAGCTTTAAAAATTGGTGACCAACAATTGGTTCCCAAAAATTAATTGTGAGCCAAAACAGCCTGTTATTTTCGTAACGGCCGAAGCTACTTTGGCGACCCATGTTAAATATTTATACGTTAAATGTGCATTTTTCATAAACGTGACCCACAATTGAATTTTTACCTTATCCGTATGTTTTGGAGAAGGCATGGTCACCAGGCGAGCGCCTAGCGTTCAGGCAACCCATCTGCCACTGCCAAGGTCGGGGCCTGATTCTAGATGCCGCTTCGTCATCACCCATTCCCAGAAGACCTAAAACAGCAGGATTTTCGCAATGTGTAACGGCGAATAAGTTAGAAGACCTACGGGATTAACCATCGATTTACGAACGAGTCTTGCACTCTAAAAATCCAAAGAAGCATTTGCTTCATAACTGCGAAGGAAATGAAGGCGTTGTAGAATTGCTTCATATTACCAAGTATTTTGCTTCGTATTGCGAAGCATTTTGCTTCATGATACGAAGCATTTTGCTTCATGATACGAAGCATTTCTTCGTAGATTTTGCAATGCCTTCATTTTCTTCGTATTATGAAGTGATTTTTCGTAGAGTTTTTACTGTGTGCCGTAACAGGGTTTACAATGCTGCCCTAGTGGCGACAATCCACGCCGGCGCTTTACCCTCACCTTGGCCTACGGTGCTAGTGTGCCTTCGGCAGGCTCCTGTAATCAAATCGACATGATAGCACTAGGCAAAAATAGCCTTTGACTTTGGGTCATATGCTGGGGGCTTCCGGTCTCAAACTCCCACTCCGGGATTTGGAAACAGAGGGAGAAGGTACGCTGGTTAAACAACATGTCAATTGGCTCCACTTCTTCGCAAACGAGGGATAGGAAGGAATAAAAGTCGTTGTAAAAATTTTCATCTAAATAAGCCACACCAGAATTCAACCTGGTTTGAAAGTCAAAATGGATTCCATTTTCGTTATCAGCACTCTTAAAAGGACAGGAAATGATATAAATCTGAGTATTTCAAATATGTCACTGAAAAATTCCATATTTCCTGCCGTTTTTATACAGTGTTTTTTTATTTTTGTTAAATGGATTGAGATTTGAGGCAGAGTTTTACTGTGTTGCGAGCCAAGGATATGCGTAATGGCCCTGAAAAATCTCAGTCGAATCAGCCAAGCCGTTCAGAAGTGACACACACATACATACAGAAAAAGTGTTTCAACCTAAACTACGACTCGTCGTTTCAACTGCTGAAGCCTCTGAATTTTGCTGGGAATACTTACCGCTGTATAATGCAACAGCTTAGGCAGCTCAATGCGCTTCTTTTCTGCCACAGCTAAAACCTTCAATAATTGCCTTGCCTATTGATCCTGCTTTCTCCGGCTTCTCTGAAGGGCTCTTTTTGACCCGTCCTACATCAATGTGTGGGTTTCTTATCGCGGGCGACGTGGCTTTCGGGTCGAAACATCGCGACACCACATGCCTTATATAGGACCGCACAACAACTTGTGACCGAGTAGGCGCGACGGACTTCATGGCAAGCGGAGGTAGGCAGCGACCCGAAGCACAAATGGCAGGGGAAAACAAAAGGATTGTGGCAGACCAAGGTTTAAGTTGTCATCGGTCGACTTTGAACGATTGTCTCAAGAATTTTTTGACCGGAGCCTATGTTTCGAGCGCCTTCTCTTCCTATTCCGCAGTCATTGCAAGTTTCCCTCCCAAGTCTCATCGCCGTACGACACACTAAATGTTTTGTACAATTTTGTACGAGACATCACAGTTTTTTTTTTGTGCACACGAACTTTTTGTACAAATTTTGTACATAAAACTGCCTTTATCTTTGTGCAAAATCACACGTGTACCAATTTGTTCGAAAAGTTCATGTGCACAAAAACTGTGATGTCTCGTACAAATTTTGTGCAAACGCATTTAGGGTGGACGTACATCGTTAATGCATCATACGTCATCAATGCATACAATCCTATCGCACTTCTGCCTGCTAGCAGGAAACGTTTCTGGAAACTCAGTGTGTGCACACAAGTGAACGAATCTACGTTTCGTTTTGAAAATAATAGGTGAGGAGTGACACCGAACGCGTACCAACATCGATTATGAAGCCAATCGACCCCGAGTTTTACTTTCGTCGTCAACAGTCGACATTGTTATGACTGTTTAAACGCGCTCCTCTCGTGGTAGACCAACTCAATTTTGGATGCCGAGCAGACAGTTTTGAAAACACCCAACATCCAAACACCCCTTATTTTGAGGCAAGGGTTTGTTTGAGACCAAGAGCGCTTCTTAATTATGCATTCCTTTTCATTTCAGTGTTCCTAATTTTTCTCCCTCTTGTACTTACAGGCTGTGTTTGATCGTGATTTCAATGCCAAGGTAAACCAGTTTCACTCTGATTACTTTGTGAGAAACATACAGTACATTGGCAACAATACGGCTATTGTGGAGGTACAGTGGTGTATGGCACAAATTTTGCTGCATTGTTGTATTAAATAATTGAGGGCATTTTATTCCCCTTTGTTTACATCATGTTTTACAGATGAGTGATGCTGAAGCAGCCGAAGATGTGCTAGGGTTGTACTTTGATTTTGAAGGCAAGGAGCTTCAGCTATCCCGACATGATCCTTCCGAGCCTGCCCCTCAGCCAACTGAACCTTCCCCAGAGGTCCTGGTGACAGGTGTACCGGGGCCCTTTTGTGAACAATTTGAGGTGAGATTCGCATTTTCTTCACTATGTGTACCATAGGATCTCAAAACGGTTTCGATTTACTGTCCTTTCTCCTTGATGCAGTTGTATTTCAAAGAAAGGCTGAAGATGCACATGACTCTAGGGGAGATACCAGGAGATTTTAGAGTTGGAGAATATTGTTGGCTGAGCGATAGCGAAGCCTGTTACTCCAGTGCGGTTGAAAAGTTTTGTCTGTCTGTCTGTCTGTCTGTCTGTGTGTGTGTGTACACTACTCCTCCTGAACGGCTCGGCCGATCTGGCTGAGATTTCGCAGGGTTATTAGGTATGTTCTTGGCTCGGCACACGCGAAATTTCACCATCCTATCTCAAGTGGTTCAGTTTTTATAGCCGAAAAACACCTAAAAAACGGCGAAAAATCGAGTTTTCTGTCGGTAGACCTCTCCTGTCTGGATGAAAGGGGGGTCTGGGGGGGCGGAGCCCCCCAGCCACGACAAGTTAAAAAGTTACAAGGGTCAAGATCGTGGAATTTGTAGATGAAGCACCTCTATCTAGAATGAAGGGGGGTCTGGGGGCCCCCAGCAGCATGCAACAGTTCTGAAGTAACTGATGATGGACAAGCATTGTCTGCCGAAGGCAGCCTAGCGCCGCAGGCCAAGGTAGGTACGCCAGGCGCGGATTGGAGAAACAGGCAGCGACACATCGCGAAGCCTGTTACGACAAGACGCGGTCTGGCGTAAACCTACCTTGTGCTTACAATTCATCTGTCATTGTTGAGGTACACAAAAAATGTTGAGGATATTGCTTACTTTAAATGTTATTATTTAGTCACCAATACATCCCAACATTCGCATTTCATTTCTAGTTTGAAAATGCTGCTGCTGCAACCAAGTTTTGCAGCTTCAACACAGAAAATAGATTCAAATACAGAAACAGCTCACTTGTTTGTGAGCAGCAGTTGCAACGAAAGAGCGCACCAAGGTCATGCAAAGTTTTGTTTGAAAATGTTGTGCCACCATTCAGTGAGGTAAATTTTGAACTAGTGCAATGTCTTATGAAATTTCCTTATAACGTTCTGTATGTGATCCTGTTTTGATAAGGTCACTCTGAGAAAAGGGTTGAAGGTTCTCCTGGACAAAACATGTGAATGGAAATCCAGTGATGAGGAACGCTTCATGCTTTTCGAAGGCTATGATGCTGTAAAGAAAAGTGTCGTTGTGAAGGTAATTATAATTTAATTTTGCTGGCATTTAAGTCATATATTGAGATTGAACACTGCTCCCTCTTCCTTGCCAGTTTGAATCTCCAGATGCTGCCCTTGAGGTAGTAAACGGGCTGAAGAATTTTGAGTACAACTACGAATTGGTGTCAACTTGCATGTTTGACTCAGAAGGGTTTTCAAATCCGCAATCTAGCTTTGTTGAACTTAGTAATGTGCATCCGCCCTTCTATCCAGTAAGTTCTTTTGTTACTGCTTCTGATATAAGAGTAGGTTCTTCTAAATCTCTGAAATGCTTATTTCAACAATATCCAGGCTAGCATGAAGAAAGGACTTTTGAAGTCTCTGATCTCTCATTTTGCATTGAGTGAGCACGAGGATCCTATCGTAGAATTTCAAGAATACAAGAAAAATTCACAGTCAGGGGGCGGAGCCCCCCAACCTGACAAGTTGAAAAGTTACAAGGGTCAAGGTCGTGTAATTTGTAGATGAAGCAACTCTATGAAGAGTAAAGGGGGCTCTGGGGGCGTAGGCCCCCAGCATGCAACAAGTAAGAAGTAACCGACGAGGGACAAGCCAATGCCTGCCGAAGGCAGGCTAGCGCCGAAGGCCAAGGTAGGTGCGCCAGGCGCGGATTGGAGGAACAGGCCGCGAGACATCGCGAAGCCTGTTACGACAAGACGCGGTCTGGCGTAAACCTACCTTGTCTTATACTTTTTAGGGGTTCCCAAGAACCCCTATTGTCCGAGGTCCGTGGATTCTTCCCCCCCCCCCTCTCCGATTTTCAAATAAACAACTGTAAACTATTTCAACCATGAAAAAAACGAAAATTCCAATTTTTTTCGAAAATTCATCGTGGAAATTTTCCGTAAACGCGAAAAACATAAATTTGCAACTATCGAAAACGAGAACCGTTAATGATATGAAAAAATGGTTCAAATAAAAAATGTGCCAATCCTCAAAACTAAACCTCCTGGCTCATCAAAGTAACAAGAAATCGTATATGTTCTGAGCAAATGGTCAAAACATGAAAAAAAATCTCCATGGCAACGGCATGGTCCCATCGTACCACCCGTCAAAATTTAAAGTCGCCCATTAAAAAAATCTAAACGCCGTGAAATTTGAATATGCTTCCCGTCTGCGCCCTTTCGAAAATCGCGAGGCTGAAAGAACGAACAGGCGCCCATTGAAACTGCCCCTCCATTGTTGCTGAGGTTGGATTGTTTGGCATGCTCTCAAAGGCTGCGGTTGTCTTGTCATGTTTTCCTCGATTTTCAACCAGTTATGGAAACGGGAACACCGTGCAATGCGATTAGCATTGGAATTTTTTTTTTTTTTTTTTTTTTTTTTTTGGCTGAGCTATCAACAGTAGATCCTTTTCATAGGATAGGTCAGTAAGCACAAAATGTTTAAATTTAAACTTAATGAAAACTTAATTACATTGTAATGATTATAGCTTCACTACCATGTAATGAAAATGTAATTAATTTTTTTTAACAGTGTGCTAAAAAATGGCATGACAGGAAAAAGTCATTCCAAAAATCACCGTAGTTGAGAGATGTCTCACCATATTCATTAAGCGTGACTCGTGACTTCTCTGTTGTTTCCAACGCGCCTGCATAGGACTTCGGAATCCCTTCTCACGTTAGGCCATGCCGAGGTCGGGCCGAGTGAGATGGGTTGCCTGCCTCGGAGGCGCGACGTGGCGTTGGTCGGCGGTCCCCGAGTGGAGCGACGTTGCTTCGCGCCCACGGTCGGCAGCATCGTCACATCTGTCTGAACCTTGCTGAACTCCGCACTCTGGAAGTCTTATCGAAAAAATGCTCCACATTCTGGTGGAAATCCTCTATTTTGTGTTGGTGCAGCTGACTTGCCTTCGAAAATTCGTTGTATTCTACAGGTATTTTGTCAAATCTCCTTGGAATTTTGGATAAAATCTCCACCCTTATAGGTTGGTTGCTGCAGCCTTTCACCGTAAGACATTTGGTGGGTAGGGACTGGCAACAGTCCAGTGCTATATACGATATTCAGATTTTAAAATGAAACTCAAGTCCAACGCGGAGAAGAGGTTTAGGCGAACTGACATCAGGTTGTTTGAGTGCATACAATCAAGCGAATGGACGCGCGCGGCCACTCGTGAGCAACCCTTTCGAAATTAATTGTGCACTTCCATGGGCTGAGGCGCATCGACCTGAGGGCAGTAGAAGGCAGCAGGCCCAAGACAGCGGAGGGACCTTGACGGCAGCATGGCTCCCGAAGATATTCCTGGAGGGCACCGCTTCGAATCTGGTCAGCACAAGAACTTTTTCCGTTTCCCAAATTTTCAAATTCACTGTGAAAATTTGTTGTCACTTTATGACAAAAACGCGGATGACATTTTCATCACTTTAAAATCATGACAATCTCATCACAAATTAATGACATTTTCATCAAAGCTCCTATACTTAATGCATGGGCGAGACAACAATGTCATCAATTTTTTTGATGACATATTTGTAGGGAAAATTAGCCTTGAAATTGTCATAAAGTGACGACTCAAATTTTCACAGTGTATCTCACCAATTTTAGGGAGAATTTTCAGAATTCCGGAGAGTTTACAATGTGACCCCGGAATTTTAATTTCAAGTTGTACAATGTAAACATTTTTAACATTCTGTGTTCCAGGGTCATGTATAATGATGTTTTCCATTTGTTTTTTCTTTATTTATTTGTGTGTGTGAGTGTGTGTGTTTTTGATAGCCGAAGAAAATTCCAAATTAAAGAGTGGTTCGGTCATTCCACACTGTTAGAAATTTTGTCGTAAATTAGCGACAAAAACGTCGCTAATTTTGATAGCGACAGAAATCGTTCTGAAACTACTTCGTCGTAACTGAACGACGAAAAAATCATTTCTCTACGACAATGTCGTAATCGCGATTACATATTTTGAAATCTGAAATCCCCGAAAAGTTGATGAAAAGTTGCAATTGTGCTCGCTTATTTACGATTTGTGTCGTTCATTTACGATTCATGACACAAATTTACGACAAGATTCGTAAATGTACGACTGAAGTCATAACTGCACGACATATTCAAAAGATAAATTACGATCGTTCGTAAAATTACGATTAAGTTGTAAATTTACGACTTAATTCGTTTCAAAACGGAACGTCTCACTATCAAAATTAGCGACAAATATGTCGTAAATTTACGACTCAAGTCGTATATTTACGACTTGAGTCGTAACAAAATATGTCGTTTTAAAACGACATAATTGTCGTAAATTTACGACGATTTTTAACAGTGCAGTTCCACGAGACAATCTGCAAACTCAAGTGTGTGAAGTGTGTGCCTGCCAGCAGGGCTCCGTAACGTACCGTAACGCGGGTACGTTACAAAATTTGGCTGGTACCGTATCGTTCGATACACGGTTCGTTACGTTTTTGTACCGTGGACCAATTCATCCTCAGTAACGGTTCGGTTACAAACTGTAACGTTACGCTTAAACGTTACCTCAGTAGCGTTACAAATTTTGTCACGATCCGTTACATTTTTGACGCCGCGTTACGTTACAGTACCCGTTCCATCTGTGTACCATAGAGGGATACCGTAAGATGTTCAGTTACCTTTTGGAACGTTACGTATACCGTAACGGGAACTGCTTATGCTTGGGTACGTTACAAACCCCAGCCCCTCGACCGTCCCCCCTCCAAAAAAATTTCACAAAGACACACAAATGTTGAGATTGAATGAGTTGTTGAGTGCGTTTTTGGAGGAGCAAACATAAACTTGGACTTAAACTTTGACTTCAACCAGTCTTGTCCTTGACCAGCGAGTCCCTGGTTATCGGTGTCCCGGTACGGGACCCTTTCATTTTCCTGAAGATTCACATCCACTGTCGCCAACTTAAAATGTAACATTTTCGCCCTTTTTTGACTTTGGAAATTGACTACAGAATGAATATGAATGGGTTTTTTTATCATCATATTTGTGAAATGTTATTTGTGCTGTTTTTTTAATAATTCATTTGATGGAATTGTGATTTTAGTTTTAAAAAACAACGGGCTAACAACGTTGTGGGAACACTGTAGACGACGTATGAGAAACTGCACAACCATCTCTCTGTGCAGGAAAATCATCCTGCAAAGAGGCGGGAACATGCAAAAAACGCTATTCGCAGGAAAGCAAAGATCTGTCGAGAATAGCGAAAGATCTGTCACGACTAGGTTAGGTTAGGTTAGAATTGTTTGCAACCCATTAGATAGTTTTCAAGATTTGTACTTGCGAATATCATTTAGTGCCCACGACACCTCATCGCAGGAAACAAATTAACCAACCACGCGCCCTACGCGCAGCTCCCTTTTCGTGCGAATCGTCCCATCGAGATGAGAATCTGAGTCTAAATCTTTTTACCATGAATAAAAAATTTAAACTGTTCGCCCGGAAGGGCCCTAACGCTCCTCCACCAGTCTTCGACTGCAACTAGTTTAGCAGTACGAAGATGGAAGAGATGGTCGGCCAATGACCAACCGAAGGACCACTGCAGCCGCGGTGACTCGGGCCAGACCTGAGATCAGGATGCAACAATCTGCTGAATTCCCCCGCCCTCCCGTCTGGTGGTCATGGGGCGTCGCATTGAAAGGGACTCCCGCGCCCTCAACGGAAACCCGCCCGGACCTAGTCAAAATGACAAAGAACTTACAAACGCGAGGCAAGCCCCGCGTCATGGCGCGCACGCCATCTAGCGGCTGGCTCGGGGCGGCGGCAATTCACCAAGTTAGCTTCTCGATGGCGCCCGGTACGGAAGGAGTTGGCTGAAAATCGTCTGCACTCGGTCAGAAGGTCTTCGAGCGAAGTCAAGTCTGAGACGGCGCAAAGAGCATAACAAGACGGCTGCTCGACGGTTTTGAGACGACTTTGAGACGGGAGCCAAACAGAAACAGCGTGAGCGGCGGGCGCGTCCGTGTGTTTTTCTCGTCGCAAAGTGGTCTGCGACTTTAT